ATTCTAATTTGAGCATAGAAAAACACGCGCGGGAATTTGTTTTCGTGCACGCAGGAAACTTAAAACACCATTATATCGGTTTGTGTGACGTATCTCCCCTTAGCAGCATTGCCTTTCCCATGTGAGGAAGCCTCCTGTAGTAATTATTGTCACTGCCAACTCCAAGCAATGCTTCCAAACAGGCCTGAAGGGATGAAAACACATTTTTAAGTGTCTCATACTTGGATTCCTTAAAAGCTTCCTCAATATTGGCAATCAAATGATCAATGTCCTTCAATTGCTTCTTGTACTACTATAAGCTTTGAATTGAATTGTTTAAAAAATCCAAGATCAAGCACATTCATATCAAGACTACTGGGTGGTTTGAGTTGTGACACAAATCTTCCAACCTTCAATTGCCACTGCTGCTGCAATATCATTCCTAATATCTCCTCAAGAGGGTCATAGATTACAGGCAGTACTTTGTCAAGCAAGATTTGCTTGTTGTATACATCACCATTAACATTTTGTGGTTTAGTCACCAGCTTCCCACCAGCAGCCTTGCGGTTAACAGATGTTATTCTTTTTGCTGGCTCTTTGACATGCTGGCTCTTTGACAACAAAGGGCCAGATACCAATTTTGCTGTCAAATCAAACCTTGGCTGCGCTGTGGCACAGAGGAACATAACTTTTGTCATGTGGTTCTTTTACTTTGATGTAGACTTGGAGTCATTGTCTTCTTCCTCTGGTACTAACAGATAAGTTGTCTGCTTAGTATGCTTCAAGTAGAACCATTTTTCATCAATATGAATAAAGTATAATAGAACCAACAATATCCAGTACGTCACACCATTCAACTTGTTTGAGTTTATTGTACAAGAAAAATGCCATTAAGACAAAGTGAAATTTTCTCAAGATTTTTGCAGGAACATACTTATTCATCATAAGTTCTGTACATACCAATAGTACTAGTACTACTCATTGCACTACTACTACTAATACTAGAGAAAGTTCTTGCAACTCTACTAGTCTGCATGTAACAACATGACAAGGAAGCAAAATCATCATGACCAAGAAATCATACCAACAAATATTATTGCGAATAGTACTAGTAGTAGTATTAGTACATGAAGAGGACCAGCAGGACAACAAGCAGCAACAAACCCAGAGGAGGTGGTGATGAGCTGGTGCAACCACCACCTGTACCAGCAGCAGCTACTAAATTCAGCAGGGTCATACTGTTCCATCTTGCACTTCATCGTCATGATAATAGTACTACTACTACTAGTATGTCATGATTTATATCAAATAATGACATTTTCTTTTTTGCCTCAACAACAACCAATGCTTCTTTCCTTTGTGCTTTGTTACATATTCTTCTCATTTAATGAGGAGTCATGAGCAATGGCTGTACTAGGTAGTGTAAGTACCAAGAAAGACGAGAAGGAGCTACCACCAGCAAGAATGTGATATCAGCATGATCAACAGCATTATGATCATACTGCTACTACTACTACTACTACTACTACTACTACTACTACTACTACTACTACTACTACTACTACTACTACTATTAGTGGTACTAGTACTAGTAATCATAGCTAGTAGTGCTACAATTTGTACTACTGCTAGTAGTAGAAGACGAGGACAGCAAGAAGGTACTACTACTGGACACTACCAAAATAATTTCTAAGCAGTAAATAGCACTAGTAGTGCCTCCTTACTTCTTGATGTTCTAGCTAGTATTTCCTCCATTCTTGCCCTAGTATGTGTGTTATTGTTGTGTCACCCTCCTCTTTTGATTTTGCTGGATCTGGTGTTGTGTCGTGTCTCTACTTTTGCTTAGCGTTTTTGGATTTTTTGGCAGTTGGATTTAACAATGGTCTGCCAGTGCACCTCTTTTGAACAAGAATGACCAATAAAAAATAAGTTATATACTGTAATAACATGAAGGATAGACTCAGAAAATATCTGCTTCTATCTTTAAGGTCCAAGAAGTGCTGGCATGTCTAAATGACTGTTGGAACCCTTTCAACCTATCAAATGAAGTCCATTTATCACATAGTATTACTGTGTTTCTTGAAGGCTTATTCCAATCTTATTGCACAAACATTGAGCTTACTAGTATTTTACTCCTACTAGATGTGGGTACACCCCAGGACATACATACTAAGGGGGAACAGAGGAAGTAGCAGTTTAGTAGAACACCAACAACAACTACTAGTAAAATTCATTGTGTCAGGTAGTAACAGGAAGAGGAGTTGGTGCTAGTACTAATGGTAGTAGAAAGATGTGGTTCTTCTTCACAACAAAGTCACAGGATGAGGGAGTACTAATGGAACAATTACAATTACAATTACAATTACAATTACAATTCATCAAAAGCAAAGTTTGTAGCAAATCTCTTGCATAAAGCCAATCAGCTTCTTGTTATAGAAAACTCTCAAAGTCATACCTCCTCTTCGGTAAAGGATAAGAAGCAGTGGCATTTTTGACTCCATAGGAACATGTGGAACCTTAATGAATCCACATATGGTTCAAACCCTTGTAACAAGATGAATAAAGCTGCTATGGTATTCTTTAATGAATACAATATTATACCAGCCTTATTTGAACAGAAATTGTTTCAGTTTAGGCATATACTATGATGTAACATGATATACAAACAAAAAAGCGCATGTCATCCAAAAATTTTGACTAATTATTTTCTTGGAAGCTCCAATTTATCATGCCTCCTTGTTTTAGAAAGCTTCTTCTTGGTGGCAAGTCATTGCTTGACAATGACACTGCAAACGAGTAGTAATAGCCTTCTTTTTTCTGCATCTGTTATGGCTATGCCAGACATAGTCAGACAATGACTGGTTGCTGAGATGGAGCCTCCTGAAAAAGGGCATGTCATTAAAAAATCTTATTCTTTTTCAAGCAGAGGTAGAAGTAATTTTAAGAAGGAGTCAAACAAGAATACAAGAAATCAAGGAGGATTGGAAAGAAGAATAGAAATTGCTGCCATCATGTTACCTTAGGGTGCAAGGAGAAAAGAACCTCTATATGTTGAAATCTGATGGCAATGTCATCATTTCTTGTTTTCCCAAATATTTCCCCTTTTTGCATTAAAAATTTTCAAGAATCTTTATTTTTGAGTAATACTGACAAGAAGAAAACAGATAAAAATGATTTTGATTTTTCATAGTAGAAGTATTGTATGTTTGACTTTGAATTCAATATGTGATGTTCTTGTTGTCTACATGGTTTTTGGCGATACCAACTACTACTTTCTCCATTATGAATCCCCCAACAACTCCTCCTGACATGATATGTGGTCACTAGAAACATTTAACTTCAGCACAATTCAATTCAACCACTAGTCAGTCTCTACCTCAACCTCTCCTTTACAAGATTCTGAACACTTTTCATAGCAATAACGGTTGCTTGCCATTTAGGTTGCTTCAAGCTCAACTGAGCTTCACTCCTGGGAATCTAATGAAATAATCATATTGGTCACGCAATTCCTAAAGCGCTATGCGACAAACTCTCTCACTTTCATGCAATCCAAATAGGAAGCTGGTAGTTTATKACTATCGGAAAAACACGCACAACGAGGGTGGGGCAGACAACCTGGTTTCATATGATCAGCCAACGAGTACTCGTACTGTATTCCATTTCCGAAGTGTTGACAACCAGCAAACCGTCAACGGCGACGTGCCAAAGAAATCCGAACGCTAGAAGAAAGCAGTTCGGTCGGACAGCTGATTGCATGACAGAAATTGATTCGTTCCCACATTCAACCGGGAATCATTAACTATTTGTCCCGTTGTTCGATGATGATTCATTCGATCCATCTGAGTTGGTTTCGGGACGGTAGTTGAGAATGTCATGTGACGCCAAGAGTGTTGTGCGTGTGCCAAGAGGACGATGTATTCGCTTTCTCCATCTCTCTACCAAATCATTTTGATTCTTTCCATTCTGTACAGTGCAATACGATTAAAACCATCTGTTTTTTGTTCTTTTTCCTGTCATTGGTACATACGGTACCAGGTACCTTTCGAATAGGCAACCACCAACACGGTTTTCCAATGCGCAGTCGATTCGAATTGATTGATGACAGGTTTTGGAATTTTCAGAAACGCAGACCCACTCAGAAAGAAAGAAAACACGCGGTGGTATTTTTGCGAGAAGAACGCAAGTGATGGATTCTTCGATTCTCGAGATCGGTTGAAGGTCAGACTTTCAAATAAACTCTTTTTGATTGATGCGAGACACGCATGCGTCGGTCCCTCATCAAAACACGACAATTCTTCCTCCAACTCATTGTCGTCGTCATCCAGAACATACTCAACATACCGTAGACCGCGCAGGGTTCCGAGTACCGTACATCTCCTCGGCTAGGGAACAGCCTTTAATACTTATCGTATCTAAGAAATCATCTGCTGTTGCTGACGGTGTTTCCACTAGTCCTTGGTTTCCTGACACTAGCCAACAGTCGTACACAGTAACTGCGGTACCGTTACCTGTTTGAACAACTTGTAAGTCCGAGAAAGAGAATTTTGTCAACATCGTCAACAAACTAGACACATTGATCCTGTTGCATCCATTGTGGTATATCATAACACATCAAAGCACGAGGAACGACGACCGAGTGAGTCCGTATTACATTATCGAATTACTCTAAACACTACAGTGCTAAAAGTTGGCGAGAAACTGTTATCGRAACGACAACTCATAATCACAGGCAGTAGCAACAACAGCTACCACAGGTGAGGTTTCCTGATGCTGCAACACTGGACAAACCGCTCTTTTCCTTGGATGTTTGCTTCGCTGACAAGATACTCTTCTGTTTGAATTTTTCCTCGATTTTGTTTAAATTGCGTCTTTGTACGCCAAGAACGAATAAACCTAGCACAAAATGGACAGAACACGAAATAACTCCAAAACGGGAGCGCGTCGGTGTCTCGGATTTGTAACTGGTGTCATGTTGATGGGAACAGCCGACGCATTGGTACGCAATTCAATGCCTCTGAAAAGCAGGCATTATGTTTCGAATACTTCCACGTCGTCGTTAGCAGTTACGATGTCTTCCGTAGAAGATCAAAAGAAAACCAAATTCCGACCCAACCCCGTTGTCGTGTCTGCAGAAGCTGAAGCTTTGAGTCACTCCGAAACAACAATGAAGTTGACACCTAGTTATGACTTGTTTCAGATGCTTACAGAAGAAGAGGGTGGTGAAGCACCCGCCACAACTGGCGGTAATGCGATGAGAGACGGATCTGTCTTGAAGGGTACGGGGAAAATAGATGAGCTCCAGGGAGTGCAACTCTCCATGTTCAAGGGATGTGGCGGCAAGATGAAAATAGAAACTCTACCTGATCCTTTCAAAATGGTGGAGAAGGAATTGCAGCCGTTTTCTGACTCAATTAAAGAATTGGTCTCGACAGATCAACCAATTCTTTCTATGGCAGCGAAACATTTCTTCGAAAAAAGACACGGGAAGCGATTTCGTCCTACGATTGTACAGTTAATGGCGAAAGCGGTTGCTGCGGCCTCTCCCGAGCACATGACCTCCGACAGTTCAACTGCGGCACATTCCGTAGACATTGAAAAAGAAGACACGGAGGTGTTTGAAAAGATTGGAGGGGCCGCTGCGTGGCAATGGAGTGGTGCATCAAAAATCAATGTCGACGGCGGCATGATCACCCCAGAGAACCACAAGGGAAGCGATGCATGGAGAAAGCAAGCCCAACTCGGGCAGATCGTAGAAATGATCCATGTCGCATCACTCATTCACGACGATGTTTTGGACGAAGCTGACACACGACGTGGGGGAGAAGCCGTTCACAAACTTTATTCGAACAAGGTTGCAGTACTTGCGGGCGACTACTTGTTGGCTCGAGCATCTGTCTTGCTCGCCCGCCTCGAAAACACAGCAGTTGTGCAAATCATGGCCACCGCCCTTGAATCGTTGGTGGCAGGTGAAATCATGCAATTGAAGGCCCCCCCTGAGTCATTGTTGGAGATGGAATCCTATCTTCGCAAGTCCTACTACAAGACTGCGTCTCTGATTTGTTATGCCTGCAGATCTACCGCGCTGCTCGGAGGACACGCATATGGATCCACTGTAGCAACAGCGTGCGAAGAATTCGGTTTTCACATGGGTCTCGCATACCAAATTCAAGACGATATTCTTGATTTCACAGCTGCTGCCAGCGTCCTCGGAAAACCTGCCCTAGCCGATATGGATCTTGGTCTGAGTACAGCACCCATCTTATACGCTGCTCAAGAATTCCCTGAACTGAAGCCTCTCGTGATGAGACGGTTTAAGAAGAAGGGTGACAAGGAGAAGGCACTGGAAGCCCTTTACAGCAGCGAYGTTGCGATGGACAAGGCCAAAGCACTAGCAAATTTCCACGCACAAGTACGTTAGAAATTTTGTTTAGACTCAGGGCGACTTCTTGACAAAAAAACACTTGACTTATTTTGTTCCTTTTGTTTAATTTTTTCTCTAATAATTTAYAGAGAGCTGTTGATGCATTAATGCGATTACCACAGACCGAAGCMCGTGATGCGTTGGTTCGCCTCACTCATACCGTTATAACAAGAAAGAAATAGAAGGACACTTCATTCACTGAACTGACTGTTCTTAAACGAACCCTGAAACCGAGAAGAACCCAAGTTCCTAGCATTGTGGCTGAAACCCAACCAAATTGTTGCAAGGACAACAATTTTGCACAGCATACCACATTTTGATTCCCACTCAGATAAATCGCACTACTGGGCAAGGCAAGACTCTTTTCACACAACTTCGAAATCAAACTACATCGACTTCACAATGATCGAAATCGAAATCGTATTTTCTCCCGCCTTGTAAAAAATAGAAAACAAATTACTTCACTTCACTGACGCTCTTTCTCATTTTTCAAAAAGTAGACCCATCAGATTGAACGAGACCTTGAGCATTTACTTTCTACTTCAGACTGTCTTTATCCCTGGGTTCTCATGGTTATATCTGACAGACGAACGGAGACAGCACATCCTGACCGTAGTTCAATCCAGTTTCGAAGAGTAAGTCAATCGGACAGTTGGAGTCACATGTTTAGTGCTGGAATTTTGTCGTGGCCTTCGTGAAGATGAAACTCGAGGGAAGAAAACCTTCGCAAAACGGGAAGGTATGACTCGTGATTGAAGTTTCTGAAGAGGTCAATTCGTTCAATTTTTAAAGCCTGAATTTGAGATACCGGTATGCTCTGGCTGAGACGTTGCGTGCGTTCCGTTTTCCATCTAGGGGAGGTATCGTACGGTACGGTACGAACCTGCATGCTACGTCCGTCAAAATCATTGAACCCTTCTTTCCAAACCGTTAGTAGTACGAGTACCTAATGTAGTAAAACCTAATGGAGAGCAGGTCCAGTTTGTACTTGATTTTTTTTAAATTCGGAAATTTTCAAATTTGGAACAAAACGTCAAGCAAGAGAAATTGTTACCATGACGACTGTTTCATATCAGCTCACTACCTAGAATGTAAAAGAATGAATACTATTTTGCGCGTGTCGAGGATCACTAATATCCATCCATTYTTTGCAATCGTCGCGAGTGTCGGCACAACGACGGCAGGAGCAGCGTGGTACAAGAACACAACACGATGCGAAGTGGCTCTCAAGGCAGATGTTAACGAAGCCGATGAGCAAACCTTCCGCATCGAAAGCCATCTTATGGACCGCATCCAGCAGAAAAAATATCTCTCAAATGCAAAGGATTCAATACCCTCTACTTTGAGGGTCCTTGCGATCGATGTTCCCGAAATGAGAACGGAAGCATTCACAGGAGAGTGTGTGATATCTCACGACAAAGTTTTTTTGGACGATATTGCCGCCCCCAAAGTTGTCAATGTGGTGCTGGATAATCAAGGGGACAAAGAACGAAACGATAAGAAAGAAAAGCTAAAGATCGTTCAGAAATCTTTGGCTAGGTCTATTATATATTGCTCCAGCCCCCAATCTCAACAGCACGTTGGTGTTGAACTACTGGAGGCGTCTTTTTCGAATTTGAATCGATTCAAGGTCCGAAAGAAGCAGAGTTTTGGAAATTATACCTACGATCCAGGAAAATATTACGACTCTTCAAACAGCAGCAATGAAAATGATAGCGATGATGACAATGAAATAGACGAGGTGGATGAGGGTGAGTTACCGATGGACAAGGAAACATTGGATGAAATAGAAGCACCATGGAATCAATATGCATGGAGCGAAGAGCTTCGTTTGCGGATCAACGGCCACATCGAATTTGACGGCCCGGTAGAGAAATCATCTAGATACCAGCGAGTTTTGTTTGGAAAGAATTATAAATCAACTGTTCCCGCTGTGTCCAGGGTGATGGATTTATTTATTCCTTTCTCTTTTGCAAGAAGTGACCCAGATGGGATAGATGGAAGGAACCAATCAAATGTCAGAGCTTGCAACAAACCGCATGCTGTARTTGCAAATGGTGCAGCTCTCCAACTAGTGCCGAGCTCCCTTCGACTCTTACAGAAATTGTGCAAGAAGGCCGATGTGCCATTATTTGTAGTGCACGATCCAAGGCAATGGGGAGGAAATACACAGGCTTCGCTGCAGGAAGCTCTGATCGCAATGCGTTCTACGGTCAAGAACCGAATCATTGGCAAAGCACTCGAGCAACAAGGATCGTCAGCATTCACAAGAGGTAGGATGCTTGGACAGGTTGAAACCGAAGCAAAGTGGCAGCTGAAAGATAAAACGAAGAGAGCAAAAGAATTGCTCGGTCTCGAGAGAGGACGGCGGCGGAAAGTAGAAAAGGAAGATTGGAGTCTCTTAGACGCAGACACGATCAAAAGCAAATTGATTGAAAGAAAAGCCATTCGAGTTGAGAAAGATGGGAGTGATTCTAAAAGAGAAGTATGCACTGAAGAGCTGATGAAAATTGCTCGCGAGTGTTGTGATGGCAGCCGGGAACAAACCGCTCAGAAGGCCAATCCTGACCAATTTTAGTAGTTAAAGGAAGTTCTGTCTGCCCAAAGATTAACATGCGAGGTGTATTAAATGCGTTTTCATTTATTTTTATAGTTCGAATCCGTTACTTAATGCGTTAAATCTGTCTTAGAGAAATCAAGTCTAACAATGGACGACAATAATTGTCATGTACGTTTTTATGCTTTCTTTTTCTTAGATGTAACTTCCTCCCATCCCTCCTCTTGGGAATTGCTCATATCAGTCTTCGAGGAGAGATTCATTTCTTCGTGAAGTTTTAAAGCAAGTGCCGCGTCTTCTTCTGTTGATGCTACAGATTCCCCATTCTGTTTCTCCTCCGAAAGGTTTTCATTTTTAGTCACGCTAGGCTTCTCTATACTCGTAGTTTCCACAGACATTGCAGATTGTGCATTGTTGGTCTTTTCCTTACCACTGTTAGACAAATTGCGTCGTTTTTTCTTTTTGCTTTTTACTTCAATGAAGTCAGAATCTTCAAAAGTATTTCTTTCCTCTGGAGATTCTGGGTCGTCCTTCGCTTTCTCACTCGGATTATCTTGTTTGCTTTCAACAACAGGTATCGCAATCACCTCCTTATCTTCATGAAAGTTTTGAGGGGGAAGTGCTTTTTCTTTCTTGCTGCCTTTGGATGACTTCGTAACCGTTTGCCATTCGCCATCATTGTCTTCTTCTCTATTAGGAATGGTGCTAGGATTGGAAGGTGCAGTAGAATCCAATTTGCTCGAAGTTTCTAGTGCTTGATCTTCACTCGATACATCACTCGAATCCAAATCAGGTTTGTTTTGTTCTTCTTCCTTCGAATCGCCTGTAAAAGTATTTGTCTTTGCCTTAGATTTCGACTTCGACATTTTCTTCTTTTTCTTTGAGGAAGATGGTCTGCCAGCTGTATTTGCGGTTTCGACGTCATGTTTTTTCTCCATTAGCGAGCTGGCCTCTGATCTACGCTGAGAAACTTCTTTTGTTTTGACACGCACTTTCTTGTCTGATTTTCCTCCTTTCTTATTCTTTTGTTTCCCCCCTTTGATTCTCCGAGAGACGATACTGTTATTTTTATCTTTCGTAGAAGTGGAACTACTGTACGTTTTGTAACCTTGGTATATTGCGACTCCAACCAGCACCAAGAGGAAAATCCATTGAAAATAAGGTATTTCTCTGTCTTGAGATTCGGACTTGATAGTCTTTGCTTTGGCACTGCGGCGCTTTGACTTCGACTCACTAGATGGTTTCTTGCTAGTCGAACGACGAGCTTTTCTGGCTCCAGTAGGAGTCGAGCCTCTTTCTGTTTCTGTCGATTTGATAAACGATTCGTACAATTCTGGATCCTCCATGAAAAGTTTATAGATCTGCTCTTCAGACATACTTTCGAGATCCTCTATGGTAGTGATAGAATGCGGTGGCGGACCGAAGTTCCCTTGCGCTCTTGTTGGTTGCGATTGCCCGGATCGATACTGTCTTAGCTGCTGTTGTTCAACTTCCAATTGTTCTTTCTGTTTTTTCTGTTTGTTGTGTAAGCTATTTCTCCCTGGTTTTGTGGTGAGGCTTGGAGAGCTCGCAGCATTGACACCGGTTGACTTATAATCCAAAGAAGAGGCAACGAAACCGGGTGGGCGTTTCTGACCTCGTGCAGAGGTGAAAGAGGTGGCGAATGAGCTTTCGTATAACATTCTCCCAGAACGTTTTGCTCTGACAGGAGATCTATTGGAGTGTGAATTTTTGGCCTCGGTAGCAGAGGCTTGAACGCCTATATCTTCTTGTTGTTGATTCTGTTCCATTTTATTGTTCGTGTTCTATTTTCTGATAATATGGATCTTCTAAAATTAGCAGGCAAATGCAACCATTTTCAAACCAATAACGACACAAAATTTTTCATCCCATTGGACATACAACGAAAAAATCTAAAGAGGTGAGTGATGCTTCCAAAGAAAGTGGAGATTGAGTCTGTAGGTCAGACAAAGGCATCGGAGGACATCATCTCATTATGCAAGTCAAATGGTACGGTGAACAATCATCTGATTGGAACTCAGGGCAAGAGTAAGTGAATGCGATTTCATACGGTCTACGCACCTTTGATGGCTTTCGGTTGTGTTTGAATATGTGGTTAGCCGTCTCCCTGCAGGATACTGATATGGAAATAAACCCAGATTTCACCTTCTGAGTTTCATCGTTCTGCCGCGTTGTTCAGACGCATCATGCATCATGCATGCAGCCCTCGAATGCAGTGAATACACATCACCACATATTTTTCAAGAAAAATCCAGGATCGTGATTGGGCCTTGAGAAAAGCACAGTTGTAACTTAGTTCGTAAAAGTACCGGTACCGGCAGTACAACTCCCTGATTGGTAGGTTATGGAATGCTACTAACACCATTTTTTAGAAATCAGATGTTGCCGTAAGTAACAACAGTACGAGTACCGGTAGCACAAGATCAAAACTGCTGTACTACCTTAAGGTAGGGAAATCAATCTCAATCAAACAAGTTCTCAAACGTCACTCCTCCCATCACAAATTCGTGTCTGGGATCAGACGTGCTTCGTGATTTCAATTTTGGATTAGAGTTTCGGATCAGAGTTTGTATCACGACTGATCGATGTTCCGGGAATGAATCATCATCCTCGCTAATCTTCAATCTGCCAATTCATCGTCATAATTTTCGGATCTCTTCGGAAGTTGAATTGAGCTGTAGCTGTACCGTAAATCCACCTGTACTGCCAGTACGGTACTAGCACGTACGATACCACTTATTTTTTCTTATTTCATTCGGTTGGAAAAATTGGTAACAAAATCATCTGACAACAGTCTGCACCGCAGTCAATCGTATTTTTGCTCAGAAGAGTACGTACTCGTACCCCCTCGACTGCAGTTTCATTCTACTTTGCATTTCATCACCTAAAAGTAGAGTTCTACTGTTCATCATCAACACGCCAGGTTTAAATTCACATTCCAACCAACTCGCACGCAGGAAGATGAAAGGAAGAACAGACACTAAGTTCCGTAGCTTCCTCTCGTCGGTTCTAGTGCTAGCTCCCTTCTTACTGTTGAGGTCAACTTCGAATGCTTTCACGATATCATCGAAGAAGTTAGTACAGCCACAGTTGTCGCGTTTTATCTCCCCGGCGGACGGCAGGACTAACTTGCAACGGACAACCTTTCACGAAGTTTACGCCCAGAATGCACGAAGCATCAAGCCATGGTATTCGTCCTCGACGACCAGTCTATCGATGTACAATTTACCACCCGGAGGCAGCGGAGGCGGAGGAGGAGACAAGAACGAGATTTCAGAGGTTGCCAAGAGCGTTGGTTCCTTGCTTCTGGTGGTCGGGTTTTTCATCTCTCCACTCGGGGGGTTCGTCTTGGGCATTTTTAACTCGTTTTTGTTGCTCGCATTTTTGTTGCCATTGCTGGCAACGGTTGGATTTCAGGTATGGTCGTCACTAAACACCGTGAAAGGAGAATGTCCGAATTGCGGAGCGCCGGCCACCGTCATGAAAACAAAAAGCAGTGGCACAAACGTCGTAGACGATGTGATGCCAGCCCAATCTATTTGCTTCAGTTGTGGAGCGGTGTTGCAAGCCAATGACGACAACACAGGAATCAACAATGTATCCGGCAGGACGAGCATTGATGATCTCAATTCGCCAATGGGAGGACAGAGCATTTTCGACTTATTTTCAACGCCTCCGCAGCAACAGCAGCAGGCGTCGACTACACGAACCTCGGAAACAAGAAAAAACACTAGTGATTCAGGCGTCGACAAAGGTGCTGTGATCGATGTCGATATTCTGGACGATGACAAACCATTTCAATAAACCAAAAATATAGAAGAGAATGATCTGTGCAAAGAAGAGACTAGGCAATGAGGGGAAATTACTACACCGAAACCATAATCGCTGACGTCGATCATTTAGTTCTCGATGTGAAACAGCAGCAAATAAAATGCTGATCTCTTTCGGACGAAAATGCCCAACTGAGGTTTGAAATTTATACCGATTGCTGCGTTTCTGTTTGCACTGGGAAAGCATCTGTACTCTCCTCGAAGCCTTTATTCCTGCTGTATACAATAGTGCCACGTTCTATAAAATTCGTTTATCAATATCATCAAATCAATATAAGCTCAAGTTGACTACACTTCCGTAGAAAAATTCTTGTGCCGTATTGTACCTGAACATCACCAATTTAAGGTGCACCACCCAAAACACCGAAAACTGGTTTGCGTGTTTCCAAACGATACTTGAAATACATGAAGCTTTCGATTCGAATATCAATATTTAATTTTCACTTCTTCTCTTCCTTACCACTCCTTAAAGCTTTCAATTCTATCTCTGATTTCAAGTTTCCCATTACGAATATGGAAATCGCTGACGCCATGGTCGTCATCGCAAAGAAGAAACGGCCGGTCGAGCGATTAACGTCAGAGTGGCGTCTGCGGTCGTAACCCGTATGCAACCATTGGTTTTGGCGCTTCGACCCGCGATTGTGTGCCGAGAAATTCCTTAGCTCCATTGCCTTGTTTCGAGTTCTCGTGAACACTGGACTTCGGGCCGAAGTCAAAGGCCACTGTATTAGAGACACCAAACACCACATGGTGAAGATATTCGTCTGTATCGATTTGTTTCAACGTTTTCCTCTGCTTTAGCTATGCACGCTCTCGTTGTCAATCCCCAGTTGTTATCCTATTTGAAATGCTACAGCAGTGATCATTAAGAGCAATGACTACAGCAGCCTTTTTGTTGGTAATTTCAGTGGATCTACTTGTACCTGCCGTTCTTTGTGTCATTCGACTTCATAGAAAGGACTATCTAGAAGAAGTGAATGACGAAGTTTCGTTTTCACGCGAGATTTTGGAATGCTTTGCTTCATTCGTGAGTCACGTACAGTAATGAGTCGTGAGATGTTCAGAGTCGGTAGCACTTTCAAGTTTCCAGAAGGAGAACAAACGAAAAAACATCACCGGACGGTACAACTTGTATCATGCCAGGTAGGGGTACCAGATAGATGGTGCAACGAGTATCGGTCCCGCGAGCAAGTCGATGCTCGCACCAGACCAGAGATGACCGAGTGGGCCAGCACCCCCTCGGTTGCATCTGATCAAGTCCCGGGTTGTACATCCAGAAATCCGGTCTGACACTTTTGTACCATCAACCCTTTTATACAATCTTAATTAATCCTTATAATTTTGTAATCGTCAGAATTAAATACCTTCGTACTCACGTAGTTGGTGCACAGTAATTACTAAAGAACTCAAGATACGTGAATAAGATCAACAAGATGTCCCAATCTAGACTGTTAACTAACTCTTGCCTGTCGATCAAGCCCCCTTTCAAGTCCGATGAGCTATCGACGCGCAACCTACACGTCTACAGGTCCGAAGAGGAGGACTTTGTCTCCTGGAAGCTCTCAAGACAATGCACAGTCTTCTCAGGGAATCATGGAGTACAGGAACTAATGCATGTTGAAGAAGAATTCCTAGACATATGTGAAGACCTTGAGATTCAAGACAAGCACAGACACTTGAAGTGGAAGGAAATACTAGAACACGGGCCCCGCAAGAAGTGGCTCGGTCTTTGGAAGGAGCCGAATCCAATAACAGCCTCCAAGGAGACGGATAAGGGCTTCCGTGAAGCTTATTTTACAAGGAATACTCCCCCGATGAGGAGTCTCGGGACGCCGTAATACAGTATCTTCAATCGGACAAGGTACTAAAGCCTATCAAGGCCACAGTTCAATCTCATGTAGATGCCATCCTCCTGTGTTGTGAGAGAGCAAATCGATTACACGGCATACGAGGTCCCCTAGAGGAGTCTGAGATGAAACATATAGTCTTCAACACCTTCCCCAGGGAATGGAGAGTTCATTACAAGCAAAGCGCATGTGACATAAGGACAGATACGATCAATGACATAGTGACCTACATGAATACACAAAAGGGGATTGCTGATGAAGCCTCTGAACGCAACCATCGATCAAGCAACACCAGCAGAAAAAGAGACAATACACAGAGCGGCCGAGGCCGATCCGGCGGCAGGAACAGCAGTCAAGGCAGAGGAAACAGCCAACAGAGCAACAAAAGACAACGCCAAATGGAGGCAAAAATGAATGAGCCTTGCTGTACACATAACGGAGCCCACCAATGGGGGGACTGCCCTTTGAACTGGCGCAACCAGCAACACCAAGGCCGCGGAGGCCGAGGCGGCCGCAACGGTGGACGAGGTTCGTTCCGTGGTGGCCGCGGCGGCTGTGGTGGTGGTCCTTATCACCAGCAGCCACAGACCTACTATCAAATCAATGGACAGTTTGTCCCCTCACACCAAGTTGTAACCAGCGGAGACCAACAGACATACGCAACTAATACACAGAACACTCAAGCTTCCCCAGTACCGCAAGTGGTCTCAGCTCACTCAGTACATTCATCCCTCACGGGCGAGCAATCGCATCCCCAACAAGCTGAGGGCTACTATCAATTTCACCCATTCAACTCCCCTTCTTTCCCTCCGGGCCGCCAGTGGTGACCCCAAACAATAGCAAATCCCCACAGTGTGGAGACCCTTGCACTAGAGCCTAGTATTCCTCCTCCTGCGGAGGCTACGAATCAGCGCTCACCAGACAAACTTCCGGTTGCTGTGCTAGTTGCCAGCAAAATACAGGGCCTCCATGTAGGACGGACCCTCCGGGTCCTTTTTGACAGTGGTAGCACTGGCTCCCTGTTACATTCACGCTGTCTCCCAGTGGGAGCTCTACCAACCATAGCCACACGCAAGCAAATTACAACCACAGCTAACGGCAGCTTCGATACTTCTCGTGGTGCCCTCATCTCAGATATCCGCCTGCCTGAGTTTGGTAATGGCAGACGCATAGGGGGGGTAGAAACACGACTCTTTGATGCACCCTGTATCTATGATATCATACTGGGCCGTGATTTTCTACACCTCGCTGGTATTGATCTGTTCTTTACCACTAACACCATTAGATGGCTCAATCGCACCATAGAAATGAGAAGCCCACAACACTTCAACAACCCTCAACATGTGGCTGAGGCCTTATGGCTTGCCGAAGACGATGAACTGCTTGACGGAGGCTATGCTGAGTGGAAGTTTCCCACTCAAGAGGCTTTCCTTCTCAAAGATACCACAGCAGACTCAGAAACAACCAGTGGTCAGCAGTCCACCATACTAGATGCAAAATACCAGGAAGTAAGCCCAGCTCAAGTCGCGGCTCAACAAGAACACATGAACGCAGAAGAGAAGGCAAGTTTCCAGAACATCTTATCTAAACATGTGGTCCTCTTTGACGGAAAGTTAGGCCGTTACCCCGATGCTAAGGTCCACATAGACCTAGTTCCGGGGGCAACTCCAGTGTGGAAAAAGCCCTATCCCATACCGTATAGACACAGGGCCACCTTTGAAAAAGAGTGCAAACACCTCTGTGATGAGGGCGTTATAGAAGAAACAATCAACTCTGAGTGGGGTTTTCCAGCCTTTATCATTCCCAAGAAAGATGGCCGGGTCAGATGGCTAGTGGATTTAAGAGAGCTCAACAAGCTAGTTCGGCGGCCATAGTTTGCCTTGCCACGAATCCCGGACATAATGAACCGCCGTAAGGGCTATACCCACTTCACCAAGATAGACTTATCAATGATGTTCTACTGCTTTGAGCTTGATGAACAAAGCCAGAACATCTGCACACTCACTACAGAGATAGGCAACTTCAAATGCCTCCGACTTCCTATGGGCCTCAAGTCTGCCCCTGACTATGCACAGGCCTTTATCACTAAGATACTAAGAGGTCTGGATGTGGAAGTTTACATCGACGACATGGGCATCTGGACTAGCGGCCCCTTCACCAAACACATCACCCTGGTCAACAACATCTTAGAGCGGCTTGCCTCCAAGGGCATGAAATGCAACCCTCTTAAATGTGAATGGGCAGTTAAGTCCTCCGACTTCTTGGGCTATTGGATGACACCTACCGGTGTTCGGCCGTGGAAAAAGAAAGTTGAGGGAGTCCTTCGCATGGGACCCCCACAGAACCAATCACAGGTCCGATCCTTCCTTGGAGCCGTCAACTACTACAAGTCCATGTGGCCCCGTCAGTCGCATGTTCTTGCTCCCCTTACTGCACTTACTGGATCTGGCCCTTTCATCTGGTCCCCTGCTTGTGAACAGGCATTTAAGGAAATGAAAGCACTCCTGGTGCATGRTGCTATAAATGTCTACCCAGATCTCAACAAGCATTTCCACATATATACCGACGCCTCTGATTATCAGCTCGGTGCAGCTATCCTCCAACAGGGACGACCTATTGCTTATTGGTCCAAGAAACTCGACAAGACCCAGCAAAACTACAGCACAATGGAAAAAGAGCTCCTCGCTATCATCCTTTGCCTCCGTGAATATCGGAACATGCTTTACGGCGGCAAGCTCTACATCTACACTGACCACAAGAACTTAACATTCCGGACACTGTCAATGCCTCRTGTCCTCCGATGGCGCCTTGCCATCAAAGACTTTGATCTCACCTTCAAATACATAGAGGGCAAGCACAATGTCCTTGCAGACTGCTTCTCTCGTGTCCCTTGCATGGCAAAGCCCACTGTCGGGGATAAAGAACAAAAATTGATCCAAAATAACAAAGGAACCTTGGTGGATTTCAAACAACTGACAGCCCCCATTGACCATGAGGATGTCTTCCTGAATACTATCGACGACGAGGAGATCTCGGAGTGTCTCCTCAATCTTCCCCCAATCACTGAAATGGATAACCCTTTAGATTTATCTACCATAGCAGCTCACCAAGAAAGAGATATACAGTGTCAACTTCATCTCAAGAGCAAAGAATCGACTCTATTCTCAAAGCAAACTATCGGCCGCAACAGTATCATTTGTTACCACGGGAGACCCCCGGCAACCAATTGGAAGATATGCATTCCCAAGTCCCTAATAGCCCGGACACTTCGATGGTACCACTTGATACTTGGACACTGTGGAGCGACAAGACTCTACGATACAATAAACTCACGGTTTCATTACCCTGGCTTAGCTACCTTGTGTAAGGAGTACAAATGCCCAGACAACTGCCACTTATATAAACAACAGGGTCGAGGCTACGGCCACTTGCCACCACGACAAGCTCAACTATTACCATGGAATGAAGTGTGCGTAGATCTCATAGGACCATGGAAGGTGAACATTCAAGGCACGGACATAACCTTCAGAGCATTAACCTGCATAGACCCAGTTTCCAACCTATTAGAGATCATCCGCATCAACAACAAGTCTGCTCGGCACGTTGCAGACCAGTTTGCCAACAGCTGGCTTGCCTGGTATCCAAGACCAAGCYGTTGCATCCACGACAACGGAGGAGAGTTCATAGGCTGGGAATTCCTTGAATTGCTAGCTCGCTACGGTGTCCAGAGCATCACTATGACAGTAAAGAACCCTCAAGCAAATGCAATATGTGAAAGAGTTCATCAAACCATCGCAAACGTCCTACGAGCTGTTATCCACTCGACTCCTCCCAAGAACACCAATGAAGCTGAGCAATTAGTAGACAATGCTCTTGCCACCGCTATGCACGCCACGAGATGTGCAGTCAGCGCGACCTTACAGACATCACCAGGTGCAATGGCTTTCAATCGAGACATGATCATGAACATTCCTTTAATCGCCGACCTAACTGCAATCAGAGACAAGAGACAACACCTTATCGATCGCAATCTAATCAGGGAAAACGCCAAAAGAATTGAACATAAGTTCCGAGTAGGCCAACAGGTCAACATGAAGATGTATGACCCCACCAAACTATCGGAAAGACTACATGGCCCCTATCCCATTGAAGAAGTGAATACTAATGGGACTGTGGTTATCAGGCTTAGTGCGGATATAACTGAGACTGTTAATATACGCAAGCTGGTACCGTATCACACGCAGTAGGAATAGCACGTGGAGTATACAGCACTATTCCTGTCGGGGATAATGCAACGAGTATCGGTCCCGCGAGCACGTCGATGCTCGCGCGAGACCAAAGATGACCGAGTGGGCCAGCACCCCCTCGGTTGCATCTGATCAAGTCCCGGGTTGTACATCCAGAAATCCGGTCTGACACTTTTGTACCATCAACCCTTTTATACAATCTTAATTAATCCTTATAATTTTATAATCGTCAGAATTAAATACCTTCGTACTCACGTAGTTGGTGCAGATGGTACGTACTCGTACCCCGCGCAACTGGAGGTAAAGAGGTACTCAAAAATAGTACGGTACTTACGAACGAGAGGGCACGAGTATCGTACCGGTAAGTGCGTAGGTGCGACTGAAACGAAACAACGAAATACCAATAGAAGTACCGGTATCAAAACGGTAGATTCAGATGAATGAAGATCCAGCGAGGGCCATGAAAATCAATGCTAACCAAGCCTTCGTCGACCTCCTTTCATCTGAAGACATCGGGACATCATTTTTGGGTAGTTTCCTTGGATAGACCATACGTTTTATAAAGCTTGCTCATGCGCCGACTTTCGGTGCTCGAACGATGACAGAGAGCAGTGGCCTGTCCGACAAGAAACAAGAAGGGAACTTGTATTTCGACCTAGAATTAAAAGTCAACRAATGCAAGTTTTACCGAAACCCGAAAAATCCTCTCGCTGTCCTCGCGGGGAACGTTGTTTCAATTCCTGTTTTATCGTCTGGCGAAAATTCAGAGGTGGCATCGAAACCATTTTCGGCGACAACATCACAATTGAATGAAACTAAAGATGATACTTCCGCCATCCAATCGCGCATCTCTCACGACCAAGAAGTTGTCGTTGATCATCCTGACTTTGAGCACATTCGAAACGAGTTGCAAATCGACACTCGCTGTCTGGTGCATGTGGGTTCATCCAGCGGTCAGATACCCTATTTGATGAAAAAGTGGGCCAGCGAATACAGAGAGAAGAAAAAGAGCACGAATTGGACCGAAATCGCAGAATATCGGGTAACGTTCCGCATCGATGTGGATTTGACTTCGATCACTGGAGCATTGGAAAAGTGTAGAAGCGTTCCCGGGGCTTGGATGCTACGCTCTCAAAGAGGAATTACTCAAATATGCGACCCTCCCACTATAAAGGTCACTATGCTAATGGATCAATCCAAATTTTACCCTACCACACTCGCGCTTCTCGATGGAGTGATAAAAGATGTCGATCGAAAGTCAATGCCATCAACAATCCTAGAAAGAAATAGAAACTTGACGGCAGGATTAATTGAATATGGTGAACGGTGCTGGTTACACGTTCGGACCAATGTTTTATCCTTGCTGAAAACCTTACATGGCGAAAGTATGAATGGAACGGGCAGTAGTGGCGGAACATGCCAGGAAAATGACAATAACAGTTCAACCGGATGGGTTCAGCTTGCCCGAGCTATACCAGTCGTCTGTAAGGTTGTAATAAACGAGGACCTCCTCGTTAGAAAAGCCAACAACAAAGGAGCACTGCTATTGGAATGTTATGAAATCGTCGATATTCAGAATGGTGTTAGCCATGCCGACCAGATCGATTCCGGAGGCGGTAGAAAAATAAATGTTATGCAATCGAATCTAGCTCGCGCGGATCGGAAAGAACGCCACCGTATATTCGCAGAATGGTTGGTAAAGACATATGGTGCCGACTTCCTCTCGACTGGTTCTGGAGTGCTTGATGTTGCTGGTGGGAATGGGACGCTTGGCCATGAGTTATGGAAATTGGGCGTCTCTTCGACCTTGTTAGATCCGGAACCCCGTTGCAACGTTGAAACGGTTCCCTTTCAAGTCATAGACGAACCGCTCCTTGGCAACGGATCAGAACTCACAGGAGAACATCAAAGCAGCAAGGACAATGATGGAACCATCAAAACCGATCACAAGAAACAGAAAATCAAATATCTTGTCGAGACGTGCTCAATGATTACTGGAATGCATCCAGACGAAGCAACCGAAGCCGTGATCGACACGAGTTTGCGTCTTGGCAAGCCATTTGCAATCCTGCCTTGTTGTGTCTTTCGCAACCTCAATGTAGAGCGGAAGGCAATGCGAAAACAGACAGGATCAGTAGATCCATTTCGATCCTACAGCACCTTTTGTCATTACCTATTGCGCAACAAGGCACCGCCGGGTGTTCTGTTCGAAACTGAGAATCTGCCATTTGAGGGACGAAATAAAGTGATATTTTTGAAAGACTACTTTCTTAAATGTCACGAAATAATTGAGCGATAATTCTTCGAGAGGGACTCTTGATAGAACTGATGCATAGTACGAGTGCGCGTACGGTTTAAAAAACAACAAAATAATAATACTACGCTTTTGTGTTGGATAGACACAATTTCCCAGTCGGTCTTTATCGCCTGTGTATCAGTAGTTCTGTAACAGCAGCGAGGCAACTGCATGTTTTGAGTGCGCTCTGTCACAACAGTCTTTACGATAAGTGATCGAGCTTGTAGTTTCGCCAAAAGATTGTTTGTTTTCATAACTTGCCTAAATTGGAGTAAGAATAGGACCTATGAAATACAAATTTCCTCGAATGCCCTTGGTTTCATACAATACTTGTGCTTTAGCGTTCGTCAAAGATTTTGCATAGAAGCCAATGATCAAAATCAATCACCTCTCTGAGTTCAAACAGTATTGTTCACCTCACGTTGTTTTTCCCTCATAAGACGTGACGGGATACTGTAACCCAAGACTAAATCATGATCTTCAAATACCGGGTCAATTGGTAAAATCCATGTCCAATACCCCTGAATACCAAATATTGACTTTAGCTTTAAAGGTTCCTCTTCGCCTTCTCCTACCATATCGTTCGCCTTCTTTTTGAGACGATCGATAGTGCCAACGCCCGTCATAATTCCGTACGTCACATTCATGATCATGGAACTCACAAAGAGCAAGGTAGCAACAGCGATAACAGTCATCACTCGAACTAAAGAAATCAAAATGGAATCGAAAGTGCATTCCTCGCTGTTGCAAAAAAAGTAGTTCAAACCGAAAACGATTAATGCAAATGCGCACCCGATCCATGTGTAGCAGAGGAAAAGAATGAAGTGTTCTGAAAATTCATGCAAACGAGATGAGTACGGAACGGAATAATTATCAGGAGACGCAGCGAGATGTGATCCATTCCATTTCTCTTGCAGTAATTTTGCAGAATAGACTTTTTGGTCATCATCGACAAATACTCACTGAAGTTGTTTGCTCCTACACAATTGTTCATCCATGGGCAGTGATGGTCCATGCGACTGACACACCGATTGCAGATCCTGCAATGATGAGAAAGTGGAGGTTTATATGTTTGACAATGACTGCACATTGTATGAGTAGTGATACCCTTTCGAAATAATGCCTCTCTCGGCACAGCTTCTTGTGGTATCGAGCCAGGATCCGTGAAGGTTGTTTTGGCGTGACAAGCAAGTGCAAGAGCAGAAATGGTACTGTATAACATGGCGACACCATTCGGTAGCTTTTGATTTTGAGCCAATAAAGAAATAGTCAAGACACTATAGATTATAAGTATCCAAACCATTGAGCCCATGCATGTCCCCACTTGATCTCCAAAATTCACCCAAACCCCATTTTCACTACTTGTGCCAAACGTACAGTCCCATGGCTCGTCATTGTATGTATCTTCATAATACATTCCGTTGGAGTCTAATTCTGGTCTCGCACAAGCATAGCCAGTGCAAGTTGTACAACATCGTTGGATGAGCGGTCGTTTGTGATCTCGTTTAGAAAAGTCTTCACCTGAAGCAGAACTGGAATATAAATTTTGTATCGGTGCCCCTTGGGGAATAGGCGCTCTTCTCCGAGGCCCGGACGAGGTTAAGAGAGGATTGACTTCCTCTTCTGCATATTCCATATTCATAATTGTCGTGTTAATATTACCATTCAGAAATCATTCATATATCATTCGAGCCCATTCTCTCTCAATCACCTCCAACCTTCGTGATTTGAGTGTTCATCAAAGGGTTTTAATGTTCAACAGGCATCTTGTACAGGACAAGTACCAGTACCGGTACGTTATGAGGAGACTCGTTCTCTTACCGTACAACTGTACGTACCGCACCTGTTGTCTCACAATCTCACAACGGTACGATATATTCATTTACCGTTAAAATTAACCTCCGATCCCACCCACACAATGGGTCATTCCCGTTAATCTAGATTAGTCTTTTGCGGTGCGCTGCAAGTGGAAGTCAAATTTTGAATAGCATATCAGCAAACTCATCTTGTGCCACCACCATCTCATTTCCGTAACTTTATATTTCTTCAGAAAAAAAGGCGTTCAACCTAGTACATGCTCTGCATTAAAAATTTGTTGGTACCATGTTTTTACATTTTTCCGACCCTCCTCAAAGAAGAAGAACTCCCTTATTCCAGAAGGACAATTCCAGCAGTCAAATAACAACTATTTTTGTACTTTTTTATTCTATTCGACTTCCATGATTGACCAGAAATACTGAATGGAGAGCCCAGACGTTTCGTTCCATAGTCCTTGCACTAGCTAACGAGTCAACAAACCATTCCTAGCCACACTATTACTAGACAAGACTTTCCTCCTAGTAGTAGCAAGCAACATCGATAATGGGAGTAGTGGAGGTGATCATAATGTAGTACTGGTACATCCAGCTGAATGAGGAGGAAGAACAAAACAATGGCAGGACTATCACTGCTGGTGGTATTGGTTAAGGCAAACCACTTGCCGATGCCCACCTTGTCCTTCAAAGTTTTGTACAGGGAAGAACTAGTAGGAAAATTGTCAGTCCTGTTTCCTATATAGATATAATATTCTTGGAGGCAATATGAACTGTAGCTAAGATGAGTAAGAAGTTTTGGGTAGTAGGTGATGAAGCCTGTTTTTTGGCACCCTTTGGTACTGAAGAATACGGGGTGCTTTTTTCTCCTATCTTTTGATGCATGACAATTTTGACAGAATAACTTCAGCGATGGGGGGGCATGATTGCCACATGTGTGTAGAAATAGAAGGTGATTGAGTTCAGAATGTTGTTCTTACTAGAATATGACTTCAACCTTGCAAATGGTGCAATACCCTTTGAAAATCCCATGGTGTCAACTGCGCAAATTACACAATACCTTGATTCATTTGTGTGATATGGTTTAAATTGGCCCATGTAGCTATTTAATTAATCTAGATTAGCAGAAATCACCTGTGTATTGTTTTTCATAGTTACAACAGAAATTTCTGTGTTATGTAATGGGCAGTTGTTCTTCCCATAAAGATAGATCGTCAACCAAATCTACTAGACCACAGGCAGGAGAGTCTATCAGACAGAAAGTGAAGCTGCTGACTTCAATTACATTATCAAAATCTAGCCAGTCCAGCCACACTAGTTGTCCAGATTTTCCTGGCAACATATAGCTTGGTGCTACTACTAGCAGAAAAAAAAACTTTGCAAAATCCCAGCACAATTAGAACAAGAAAGGCATCATCATCATCATCATCATTGTCATTGTCATTGTCATCGTTGTCGTCGTTGTCATCATTGTCATTATCGTCATTGTCGTCATCGTCGTCGTTGTCATTGCCATTGTCATCATCATTGTCATTGTCAATCAACATCATTGTCATCATCATCATCATCATCATCATCATCATCATTGTTGTTGTCATTGTTGTCATTGTCATTGTCATCATTACCATTATTATTGTCATCATTATCATCATTATCATCATTATCATCATTATCATTATCATCATTATCATCATTATCATCATTATCATCATTATCATCATCATCATCATCATCATCATCATCATCATCATCATCATCATCATCATCATCATCATCATCATCATCATNATCATCATCATCATCATCATCATCATCATCATCATCATCATCATCATCATCATCATCATCATCATCATCATCATTAGTATCATCATCATTATCATCATCTTTATTATTATTATCATCATCATCATCTGCTCAACCCCAGAGAACCAAGTGTGCCAACATAGTATGTTGGTTGCACATGTGCTAGTAGCACACAATATTGAACAGAAATTTAGGCAGAAAAGAACAGATTAAGGCTAGTACTGCAAAATACAGTGCACCATGCCATGGGAAATGATTCTTTAACGCAACAAGTTATCATAGGTTCCTGGTGATGGGAGAGGATCCTTGAGCCTGAAAGCTTGGTCAACAGCAGCAAGAAGAAGTACCCACCAAAACTGGTCATATATTGTCTCCACCTTGTGGTACAAGCTATAGTCTGACTTGGTGCAGTTGTACCAGGTTCAATGCAGGACAGTTGAAAGAAGACAAAGAACAAGTGCAAATCCTGATTTTCTTTTTCATATGGTGCAAAGACCACCAGAACACTGCTGACAATCACCCATCCATTATAGTACTGTTTTGGCTTGTTAAGTTCTCCTATATCTGCAATTTGACCCTGAGTCCAGCTTCTACTTCTCAGACCTGGTTTAATACTATATGCATCAATTTCATCTTCAGTGTCATGAGGATGGGGACTCTGCAATACAGCAAGCTGACCAGTCTTCTTATGGGAGAACTTCGGCATTCCATACATTACGCTTGTTGTGAGTCAAAATGTGATTGCTGTGCTCCTTGCAACAAATCCATTAGTCCTGTACAAAACTAACACAACTAAATCAGGACAACATGTGCATTGGTTTCTCTTGCTCTGAAAAGTTTCCCATTTCTGCTTTGAGACAGATTTTGTTGTTAGAGTTAACTAGCATCAAAGACTGACTGAGATCTACATCTCACCATCACTAGTCTAGAAGAGCTTGACCCTTGCCTGATTCAAGGAGGAACTTGAATGAAGAGTTAGCAAAGCATTTGAATGTAATTTTTGGTGTTCTTCCGTCCTTCCTACATTAGAGTTCCTTGGGAGAGTGCCTATTTTCCTCAAACCATCTTTAAGCTTCAAAAAGAGTACAGGCAGTGATTATTGTCTCCAGCACCATAATTGGTTTCTGTAGGCTTTGAAGCTTGCTTGGAGGAAACTGTGATCAAAAATGAGGATGATGAAGCGGAAAAGAATTGACTTGAAATGTTTCCAAGTACCAGATACACCCCTATCACTAGGGACGCTTCGGCACAACTTGTACTAATAGTATTATTTTTTAGATGTTACATTTTCGTATCATGAATCAAAAGCCCCAAAATCCAGTCTTTGGAGCGACGGCGGCGTTGAATTCAATGAAGTTGTGCCAGATCTGGCCCTGAGCTCGATGCTGGTATCTAGCTTTATGGTCTACCTTTATGGCAATGACCCAGTACTCGTACAGAACTTTTAAGGAGCACTACTGCGCGTGGTAAGAGGAATTCTAATAGGAAAATAATGTGTTTCAGAGTACCAGTTTCGTCGAACATCTCCTGCTTCTGAGTTTACGTATTAATTAGAGCTCTTCCATCTTGCGAGCGTCAGAAAGGACTAAGTCTATCGTTAGACTTGCAATACTAACTGTAAAACATTGTCGAAGCAGTTCGTGTCACTGATTAGTCAACGGTGCCATTCTCGACACCACATTGCATGTATCTATTGCACTCCTCGTAAAACTTCTTGTTGCAATCATAGAAGTCTTGCAAAACCTGGACGTAAAGAGATTTGAAGTCGTTGCAGGAACTCGAAAATTCGTGTTTCGAAGGGCACGGATCATCGCACTTGCTATTTGGACAACATGACGACGCCGAAGCCGATGGTTTTACCAACAGCGAAGCTGACTCCGTAGCTGTCGTACAAGGAGGAGGAATAATCTTGCTTTGAGCCATGCCGAAGCAAAGCAACCAATCGGCAACACTACCTTCCGGTGACGTGTGCGATGTTTTTGATTTTGTGATCGGCTCCAGAAATTCCCCATCCACTGTTACATTTACACTAGCGATACCGGTTAAGGGATCGACATGAACTGTTTCCGTCTTCGTTATTTTTCGGCCGTTGACAACCCGAGTCGCAACAAATATTTTTGTATCTATTGTTGGACTATCGTCGACCTTGTCGTTACTGTTGTCGCCGCAATTTTTCGTCTTCTTCGTATCATTTATCTCAATATTACTACTCATGAGTGACGTTATCGAAGATCGAATCAACATCGTATTTCCACTCATTCCATGCCAATCTTGGGTGGTGACATCGTAGATTGATTCTCCGTTGGAGGCAGCAGAATCATCAATATCTGCGAGAGTGACACGGGGAAATATGGGCTTCTGGTTCCCAAACACCTTGTCAAAAACGACATAGGGATCTGAAAAGGCTTGGAAATTCCGAGCCCGGTGAAGCGATGCTAGAGGACCACCAAAGAGACGATTCACAGTCGCTTCCGAGAAATGGATTTCTGCTTCTTCGGCAGAAGCTTGCGAGGCAGATAGTGAGGAAGAATCTACTAATGATCGAAAGCCCTTTGTTCCATTCCTCGATATTGCAAATTTTACGCTGTTGCTAGATTTTGGATTGTGAAGAGCAGCCGAATCACCAGCACAAATAAGCATACCGACGCCCAATGAAGTGCAGTTGTTGCGTGGAATTGTATCGTTGCTGTCACAAGAATTTCCTGCAGCGTTTTGTACTTCTTTTCCAGACGCAGACGATGAGTCAGAGCTTGAAGACATCAAGCCCGGAATAGGGTCTCTTGCTCTCGCCACAAGCTCATTTGATGCCTGTAATGATTGCTGCTTCCCAACTCCTGGAGTAAAGAATGCTACTTTTTTGTTATAACTAACCAGGTTCCCTGGCTTCTTGTGATTAGCTTTGGATTTACTGCATTCTTTCTTATCGATTTCCTTTAGCAAAGAATCGCACCTTCTTCGAAATTCATTATGCATCAGAGTTTCGTAGCATGCGGCCAGTATCTCAAAGAACTGTAACCTTTTTCTTCGCTCAATTGAAGACGCGATTTTGCGGCCCGGATGATATATCAGAGCAAGTTTTCGATAGCTCCCAATTATTTCAGCGTGCGTTGCATCCCTTCTCAGTTCCAAAACGTGATATGGATTCACGGGAGAATTGCAATCCACTGCGTTCCATGTTGCTTTTCTTGATAGAGGTTGAGTTCTGGCATTGCTTTGAATCGCAGCATTTCGTCCATTTTCAGGCAGGTCTTGTTGCGTTGTAATCGCCATGTCTTCGACGACATCATCACTTATCGCAACAGGGCAGCAGTCGAAATACTGCATACTTGTTGATTGCTAATGAATCACTGTGAAGATCAATCAGTTCGAGTTCATGCTTTACTCAAAACAAATGAATTTTCCTCATGGACTGATTCTTACAGGAGTAGGCAACCAATTCGAGTCTGGACGGAACTGTACCATGCGCATCGGACCTACCGTACGGTACGGTAGAAAAGCTCTTTCCGTGTTGAAATGAAACTCCGTACTGCGCAGGCAGTAATACGAGTATCACAAGAGCGGCAGAATCAATTGTCTATTTTTTCGTACGTACGTACCTGTACCGATACCTCTACAACGATTATGGTACCTTTCAGTTCGTACGGTACCGTACGGTTGGATGCAGGAAGTCAGACTGCCAAAAATTAAGCCGTTCAAGATTCTAACAGTCTCTGACTAGCGATGGGATTGAATATTAATATCCGTTATCGTATGTTTTATTTATTATTTAGCGCGCGACAAGTTTATGCTCTTTTTTCTTTTTTCCCCTGCCGTCTTCGTTAGTAGAGCTAGGAAGTACAATTCCCGTTCTGACAAGTTACTACGATTGCGAGTACGAATCCAGTAACAATTGATTGCCGCACAAATAAATTGGTTCCCATCGTTAATAGTAGTATTTCTACTTCTTGTAGTACTCGCTAGTAGTAGCTCTTCATTCAAGAAGAATCAGTGAAGAAGGAGTCATTGTCTACTATTAGTAATATCACCATGGCTAAATAATTGACTAGTAAAGTAGATTAGAATTAGGACTTCTTTTACTACTAGTAGATATGGTGCAACAAACCAAGTGTGATGTCAAGACATTGGACATTAGTATGACTTTGGCAAGGCCTACTGATCTCATTGGTAAGACCGTCATTTTATCCAATTATTCTTCTACACTTGAAAGAAATGTAGTGACAGCATGCTCCTTTTATTTCTGGTACATGTTGTTGGACTCGGCCATACCATCGTGGTCGCTGAAAACGAGTTTCTCGATATCAATGGGTTCCTCCATTGTCCCATTGGTCACTGTTTTTTGAACCATGCCAGAGAAGTCATCGTTACAGACTTCGTCACTGACTTCGTCGCGGGCATATTCCTCGGGGGCTAAAAGACCGCTCGGATCTGACCTCACAGATGGGTCTTCGTATTCATCAGTGGGTGCATTCAATGATTGTTCCTCTTTAGTGCTGTCATCGACATCTCCTTCGAAACTAGGTTGAACAGAATCTGGTTCCTCAGTAAAATTGCCGTTGCTACGTTCATCATTATATTCTCGTTCTGACTCCTTCGTTTCACTATCGGTATCATCAATGCTAGGGGGAATCAAAATAACTTTCTTATTTTTCACCAAGGAATTCACAATTGCTTCGTGAATTTCATGAAAGTCGAATTTTGAATAGGCATTTTTCCCAGCAAACACTTTCATAAGCATTGCAATTTCATCGATTTGTTTCTCGCTTATAGTGCAGTTTCCATTGTAGTCTAGCCCCAGCATGGTTGTCAAAAGGTTATGAATTTTCTTTGCAGCTAAATTTGCCTGAAATTGGGCACACAGAATCGAATTTGAGAGTCTGCCCCAGTGTTATATAGCCAATGTTTGAACGACGCAAGGCACATAGAATACCTTCAAAAATCCTTCGTAGGTTCTTCTTACCTTCAATTTTTGTCGAAGGGTGGCATTCCTCTTTGCCAAATGCTTCATTTGTGTAATATCCTTGTTACTACGTTGGCAAAGATGTTCAAAACGTACTTCAACGGCGGAAAGCCTGTGAGTGTAGACCAAAAACAAAAAAGAAACCAAACGATTGAGATGCCACTATTGAAAATAGATGTTTGTGAAAGAACCAACACGATCACGACCTTGTTTATTCGATAACCATAGCATACCTGTATTCTTGGCGATGGAGTCTGCTCAGATTTCCTTTCAATCGAACATTTATCATTGCCAGTTTATTTGCTTCGTCTCGAATCTTATGATAGTTTCTTCGAACCGCTTTTACAAAAACAAAGATGATTGCAATCAATGATACAAAGATTCGATAAGGAGAAAAATTGAAAGTTCTGCAGAAAGTGCTTGTAACATTAAATCACTCATTGCTAATGAGTGATCAGTGTCGACGAGACTTACAAGGCGCTAATTGCGCATACATTTGTTCGTTGATCACGAAAGGCCCCAAGAGAAGAGGGATGCAAAAGTTGATCAGTACGACAACACTAGACCCGTAAAGCACAGCTACAAAGGCAGAGAGAATCCAAGCCATTGCTCCAATCGAGGATGGAGATGATAGTGCATACAGAAATTCATCCCGAGTGAATACACGCTCTTGTTGGTTGCGCTGTTTGACAACAAGGCTGTTGTCAAAATCCCCATCGGCTAAAGAATTCGATGCTCCTGTTCCGGCTTTCGACCGAATGGCAAAGGACGAGGAATCCCCCATTCCACTGTCTGTCTCGTTAAAGGCAGAATACTTTGAGTAGTCATCTTCGGTAACAGTTGACGCCATCGTGAAGAAATAAAATTGTACGTAATCGTATTTTCTTTTCCTTTCAATACCGTTACGAATCAATCAAACCAACTGGTAGCAGTTTTCTGTTTTTACTCGTCCGCCCGGCTTTCGTCAGCGATAAAGTTGTGCGGAGTGCATACCAAACGGCCTGCGGCATAGATAGTGGATGACATTACGCGTGAATCAGTAATTTGTTGCGAAGTAGAAGTACGTACCGGTAGATAACTGATCACTGTGAAATGCTAAGATTACTTTACCGTACGGTATCTCTTATGCTCTCATTATCTCACAAGGAGGGGGGTACGTACGTACGATAATACAGTGCTTGGTACTGTATTTGTAAGAAATGACCAAGAATTGCTTTAGGTAGGGTACAGAAGAAGTCTCATACTGKTACCGGCTACTAACATCACTCGGTAGGGTTCGTGCCGGCCGTAAGGCATACGGTATCGTACGGTACGGTACTGTACAACACTTCGAATGAGAAATGGTGAGTTCAATGGAAGTCTTGTTCAGAATACGGAAGAATACGGTAACAACATAAAGGGCCAATACTTTGTGGTGCAAGATATATTACGTACGGTACGTACTTTACTACTGTAATAAAGTACTAAGAATGAAGACCCTGTTTTTTTGCGGTATGTTAGTCGCACGTAGACACAGTTGTAGCACGGTACTACTTCTACTTCGATTTTGTTCAGCATTTTTATTTTTAAGAATACGAATTGCCTGTAACGGTACTTTACGTATTCACTCGGACAAATAGTACGTACATCGTACACTACGATTACCTTTTTAACCAGCATGCATGGTTGGGTACTCGTACTCGTGGTACCTGGTACTCGTACTCGTACAGGTCGTTATGACTACCGTACCTTTTCATACTTCATACCGACAATACTCCTAGTGATCGTATTCGGTGCGTTAGACAACAATATTTTGAAAAAATAAAAATTATTACAGTACTTCCGGTATGCATCAATAGCGGGTGTCACAATTTCGGCATCGAACACTTCAATGACCGAGAAACTTTCGGAAAAGACACACAATCACAGTCCATCAATTGATTTGTCAAACCTCAAAAGTACGATTAGTGCCTGAAGCTTTTAGGAAAAGGGCGGTAGAAGACAGCACCATTAATACAGAGATAGTTGCACTGAATTAATCTGGGGTCGACAACAGGAATAAAGATGAACGGAACAAAAGAAGAATGCAACGGGGTAGAGAACGGCGATAGCTCTGTCAAAACACGTAAATCAGTCGTCGGTCTCGTCCCTGTTGTAAAGGATTATGCATGGGGTATCCGTGGAATGGATTCTCGTGTGGCCCGTTACGCTCTGGAAAATAAAGCATTGGATGAAGTTGATCCTGATACGCCTTACGCAGAACTCTGGATTGGCACCCATCCGAAGGGGCCTTCGAAGCTGAAGACGGGAGAACTTCTCGAAGAAGCCATCGGCGAACAACTCCCTTTTTTGTTCAAAGTCCTCAGTGCGGGGAAGGCCCTCAGTATTCAGGCTCATCCGGACAAGGAAAATGCAGAACGTCTCAACAAAGAAAACCCATCGAAATATGGTGACGATAATCACAAACCCGAGATGGCCATCGCCTTGACTCCATTCGAAGCCATGTGTGGATTCCGTCGACTGGAAGAAATTTCGCTACTCATTAAGAAGCATCCAGAATTCGCTGCTTGCATTAGCCAGGAAGCAAAACTCGCTGTTTTCTTGTCCGCTAATACATCGACGCAAAAAGATGCTATGCAAAAGCTCTTTTCTAGTTTTATGAGTTGTGATCCGGAAGTGTCTTCGAAGCAACTCGATCTACTTTTGCTTCGACTGCAGGCGGAACAATCCAACTTCCATGTCCATCCACACGACGAACCCGCATGGTAAGCGCCAGTAATCCAAGAGGATTTAGTTATTGACGTGTTCGTGCAACTTATTTATTTTGCAGAGTCCTTTGCCTTACAAAACTCTTTCTGTGTGTCAATTGCCTCTCGGTAGGGAACGTAAGTGTTCCAGGGCTGTTCTGCGATTAGCTCAACAATTTCCAGGAGATCCAGGAGCAATGGCTCCGCTTTTCTTGAATTATCTCTTGATTGCCCCTGGAGAGTCTTTCTTCATGGCTGCTAACGAGCCACACGCGTATGTTGCAGGAGAAATAATAGAGTGCATGGCGTGCAGTGACAACGTGGTACGTCTCTATTTACCACAGCTTTTGTACGGCTGATTCATTTTTTTGGCGAAGGTGCTTTCTTTCGCCAATTCTGCCTAAACCCTTATTTGTGGTTTTGTTGCATTTAGGTCAGAGCTGGCTTGACACCAAAATTCAAAGACGTAGATAACCTAGTGAATATGTTGACCTACAGTATGGGAGGGCCAAATATCGATGGTGGAGCTTACTCAATGGAAAATCCTGATGTCATTCGTTATTCTCCTCCTTGTCCTGAGTTTGAAGTTATGTTCTTGACAGTGGAACCCGGTAAACAATCAAAATTTAAGAATCCCGGCGTTCCTGTTATTCTTATCATTTTGGAAGGTTCCGGTGACTTAGATGGAAAAGTATGCCGACCAGGTAGGTCCTATTATTGGCCCGCAAACACTGATGATTTGCTTTTCACAGTTGATTCAAGCAAAAGGGGTCCAATGAAGGTTGCGATGGCACATAAAAATCTTCATTTAGATCGCCCTACAGCGATCAATAAAGAGGATTTCGGTGGAGCATCTTCAGCTCACTTTCTAAGCGTTCCAACTTCACCAAGAATGCCGTATATGGGCTTGGGTGGTGGGACACCAGTGCAACCAGATCGCAATATTGTAACGGTTGGGTCAAAGGACTGTGCCGAGCAAGAGTTGCCTCCTCTTTAGCACCACATATCGCTTTTTAAATCTGCCCGACAACTTCATCAATTGGCCAGGGTTCAATTTCTGTATTCCATCGCATCTTCAATATATACAAGATATTTATGGCAACACTAGCGGTATCTTGAATTACTCTATTGAATAAGATTAGTATATTTACTGATTCAATGTTAGGGAGTACTAGTAGTCCAATCGAGGACACCATGCTGCTCTAAAACGTTATAGTCAATTCATTCCTAAGAAGCTTCAACCATTAGTAGCTGAGCCGGCCGTACTCAAACGGCAACTTCGAACAAAAGGTGCTTATCGTTCTCAATTTTGGCTCATTATTCGCAAGTTCGATCGGCGAAGTATATTATCACATTCAACTTGCAACAAACTTTTAGCAAACAGCAACTACATAGATGACATGCTGGGAAAAACTCATTGAGTCTAGAATTTGTGTGCAACATGCCTTCTTAGTTTATTTGGGCAGCGTTTTTAAATTCAGCATACAAAAATATCCGGTAACCAAGCTGGTAAAGGACAACATGACTACATAGCAAAAGCGAATCAGTATATGCCCGTATAGAGCGGTTAACGATGGGACAACATCGCTTGTGGTGTCGTCGCATTTCGGTGCAAGATGAGGGGTCACCTTGGGGGTGTTTCCTAGCGGAAACAATCAACTTATTCCTTTTCAGAAGGGTAAAGCTTTTTGTATGCCTTTGCGAGCTGCTTTACGCTGGATTCAAGGAATTTGTCGTATCCGAGAGCACCAACAAGATCGTCAAGAGCCTTCTCTTGGTCTTCAACACCGTTCGCTTCGCAAAAAGCACTGATCTTGAACTGTGCGGCTTCTTTCGTGAATGCCAACATAGTTTCTCCGGCCTTCTCCAAGTCAAGAGAAACGGTCGAGACGGCTTCGGCAAACCAAGGTTCATCTCCACCATCGGCGGCTCCTGGCCATGAGCCTTGACCGATTGGGGATGTTCCTGGGACTCTCCAGTTACTAGGGGAACGAGCTCCGAATTGACCTTGGCCACCGTCACCAACACTGGCAGTTTCGTAACCGTTCTTGGCACCGTAGTCCAAATCGTACTCTCCTTCCCGAAGGGCAGTGGAGGCTGATACAATAGTACAGTCAGTGAAAATAGATGTGAGAAAAGAGTAACAGAAACATCATCCTACGACCGTGTTCAAATTCAGACTCTCTAGGCTGCATCACACCGTAATTCGACATATGGGAACGTGAACCAAGTTTGCACGTACATTTGGTTCCGAAGGAGGCGGGGGAAAATGCAGCAACAGTGCTTGCGGTTACGATAAGAGCGGCGATGACCTTCATTGTGACAAAGTTTTTGTTATTGCTAAATAGAATTGTATTGGGATGAGGGAGACTGACAATACTTTAGGGGAGGGCATCGAGAATTCGATTTGAGTTCCAGAGCRAGGTTCAATCACGGCGCATGAACGGAAGCACACATCATCTTTATTCACTCTCTCCGAAGGGACTTTTCTTGCTGCGAAAGAGCGTGGTTGAAGTCTTCAAGTCGAAGATCGGGAGGGAAATATGAAACAGTCCGTCAGTCGTCAGTAGATCCCTACTACTGATAGTCCCATGCACTGGTACCTGATAATGTTCGTAGTTACTATACTATGATATGATACATATCATTACAGCTTGGCCTAGAAAGTTCTATTATCGTACGGTACGGTATGAAGAAGATTCCCATTTTTGGTTCGAATATCCTCGAACGTATTACGATAGTGCTTTATGGTACGCATGTAGAACCCTCCACGCTGGTTCTGGTAGTGGTGGTACCATAGGGTTCCGATCTCCGCTGCGCTACGGTACTACAGTATTTATCACGAATCCGCAATCGTAGTACCGGCCGCTACGAATAATCGTGCCCAATGAGACTTTTACGAGTAACGATGCCACATACGCATTTCGTATGTTACCCTCGTTGACTAGTTGAGTGATGTTTCTTTTTTCTCACACCATTCGTCCCCTATTTTGAGAAGAAAACAAGAAAACATAGACGCCGTCATAATAAAATCATTTGAATTCAACAATACCCCGCAACGATGACCAATATCAGAGTTCTATCCATCACACTATTGGCATGTGTTCTCTCTTCAATCGTGAGAGAGCTCGAGTCGTTCCAAATTAGATCTCCCGAACAAGATGTTTCCAACGGGCGCTTGTCCGTTCGGTACACGGAGACGCTGGCAATGGCAGTTGCAACTTCAGAGATCGAGGAAGCAAGGAATATGATGCCGGAAATTGTGAATAGAATGCCTGAGCCTCTTCCAGATAACCTTAAAAACCGATACTATATGCTCCGTCATGGGCAGAGTACAGCTAACATTGCCGAGATCATTTCCTCCTCGCGGTCTCTTGCCTATTCAGAGAAGCACGGACTGACGGCCTTTGGATATGAACAAGGAAAGGAATCGGCAACTCAATTACTAGACGTCATGGATAAAGAAGGTGCAAAGTCTGGAGAGAAAATTGTTTTCGTTTCGTCGCCCTTTGCTCGTGCTAAGCAAACCGCCGAGGCTTGTTTAGATGGGTTGATGGGCAACGAAGAGAATCAAGAAAGAATACGAACGATGGGTATCGAAATCGAAAATGAAATATCAATCGACAACAGGCTCATGGAACGTTATTTTGGTCGATTGGACGATGATTCAATTTATACCTACGCCTATGTTTGGCCAATGGATGCAATCAATGTCACGCACACGGCCTTTGATGTGGAATCGGTAGCAGCGGTATGCACAAGATTGTTAGAAGTAGTGAAGAGATGCGAAGAGCAATACGACAACATGCACATTGTGTGGGTGAGCCATGCAGATGTCCTTCAAATCGGACAACTGTACGCAGCGAACGCCGAGAACGTCGGGAGATTCAGCTCCTATCGATTTAAAAATGGAGAGGTCCGAGCTGTGAAGAATACTCCAGACTCGCTACCCAATCCTGTTCCATTGGAAGCTCCAAAGCGAGGAACGGCGCAATACTCAGAATTAAAGGAACTTCCTAAACTTTCACAATAAGATGTCTGACAATCAGTTTGGTTACACAATCTTTTTTCTGTTCAGCTCTTCATTGTATAGCTTCGTAGATTTTGATCCCATGATCGACGTTCGCCGTTTGTCAACTGAAATCACGAAGAGAAGGTCAGCGTACAAAATCTCGACCATTCGATTTCTCAATTGCTACTATTCGATTCAAAACTTTAATTTAATATTGTTCCTTCTACCAACCAAGGTTGGAGAGAAATCGATTCGATGTTGCTTTTTGACAAAATTCAATGTAGAAGAATATGATACGGATCCAATTGGCAGTTTCTTGGTGTTATATACAAGACGTAAACTTAGTTGCTCTGGTTTCGGAAAATTTATGAGTGTCGCTGTTCATTCGTTTACGATTCTCCCGAGCTCGCATTGACTTTCGCAAATCCCGAAATGCATTGCTAATCTTCATCCGAGCGGCCTCCTTATCCGTGGGCGTCCACCAACCGTTGTTGTCCTTCGCTAAGAATCGCCCGCCTCGTTCTTCGATAGTACGAAGAACTTTGTTTGTGATGTATATCTTTTCGTGTACGCTAGATGCATTGTCGTAATGGTGAAGATTGCTTTCCAAAATGTCACGATAGCGAATATTGCCCATAAATTTGTAAAAGTGCGTACCTCCTATGGCTAGAACATCGTTCGTAGAGGGACAGAAAGTAGCAACAATGGAATCCTCTTCTCCTTCCTCAATGAGACGATCTCTCATTTTCCTATACGCGATCCATTTCTTCTGATTTTGAGTCTTGATGGTTCCATGATTACTAATGGGTAGTTGCCCGCTCTCTATTCCAAATGACATCATCTTGTACCGACATTCAATTATGGTACCTGGAGAGAAAGCGATGTTATAAATACTTAAGATACCATTTTATCCAGTTCAACCACGGAGATTACTTAGCAGAATCTCATGAGAGATCGGGTAATACAAAAACGAGGAATTCTTACCATAATGGAATCGAGTTCTTACACGAATATATTGCGACGAAGCCATCATATACAAACCTCCGAGAGCTCGGAACCAAGGTGTATCTGGAAAGCAGACGTGGTTGGCGCTAATACGGATACCTGTTGAATCTAAACATTCTAGGATTAATCGTTTTGCCTTTGGGTTTGAAATTGTTGACGGATCGAAGTTAATGGAAGGGAAGGATATCATGACGATGCCGCGCTTCTGACTCTCCAAGTCTTCCGATAAACAGTGAAAAATGTAAAGAATCGTTCTCATCATCTATTCAGTAGCCATTGTAATTTCGAATTAAGCGTTAGTGCGCCGTTGAAATGTATGGTCAAGCATAAATTATGTCGCAAGATGAAGATGAATTCACGCATGTTGGCATTGCCATGGATACTCACAATCTGCTCGTTTGAAATGAAGTCCAAGCCCAAGGGACCGATTCTAACCCCAATCCTTCTACCTGACCGATCGCGAAATGGTAGAAGTTGGAACGAACCTGACTCCATTATTGCAACCGCATTGGCATCGAGATCACCAATGCATATTGGTCGGCATAGACCTTTCCGACCAATGTATCGATAGAGAATATCCAGGTTTCTCACCATGCGCTCCGCGGCTTTCCTTGGATCAAAACACTCTGCTCTTAAGAACTTCAGGCGATAGCTTCTATCGTTAACGAATGTAGAATGGCCTTCTTCTGATGCGATTCGTTGCGCCTCATCGTATGCAGGCTTGTTTTTAATGTCGTAGAGAGCTTCCGATAGAAGAAGAAGGCTGCGATTTAATTTCTGTATTGACAACTCTTCTACCGCATGCTGAGCGACTCCATGGATTTCCTACATGGTGATAAAAATGAGAATTGAGGCTAATTGAAAACGAGGGAAAATGGAGTATCACACAAACGTTCCGCGATAGGAAGCGTACCTCAAATACGAAATTCCTTTCTTCGACCGACATATTGTTGAGTTCAGAAGCTAGGAAAGCGTCTACTTTTTCAGTAGATTGCTCCCCCGCCTTCGGGGTGATCGGTTGTGCAACATCTGCTCTAGCAGAATCCATGGCTCTATCGTACTTTTGAATTTTATGACATGAGACTGATGGTTATTCAGTTTCATGAAGAAGGCGAAGGTATCTTGTTATGGATGACATCTAAAATGCGTAACCAGCTACATAACGGGACAGTGTGATTAGGTTAATGTGAATTTTTAGCTCGTAGAACAACACTTCGGTGTGACGTACATAGTAGGAGGTGTGATTAGGTTATGACTAGTACGGTATAGAGCTACTAAGTACAATTCCCATAATGGCAAGCTATTGGCAATTTCCCGACTATCA